CCCGCCCCTCCCGGCGCCGCGACGGAGGGCCCCTCACTCGGCGCGGGCGCCGCCGCCGGCTCGGCCGCCGCCGATGCGGCCGGCGGCGCGGGCGTGGGCGCGGGCGCGGGCGCGGGTGCAGCAGCACCTGCGGACGCCGCGGGCATGCTGGCCTCTAGCCCTGACCGCAGCGCCGCCACCTGCTCCTCTGACAGCAGCTCACTGACTTGGTGCTGCTCGGCGTGGGCGCGCAGACTGTGGGCACGCGCGGATGGGTGATGGTGCAAGGGCGGTCAGTTGGCGCGCGCGGGGACGGGGGTCGCCAAGTGGGAGCTCGTCAGGAGCCAAGTCCGGAGGTGACAGGGTGACACAGTTCGGATACGTGGATGTGAACAAACGGGTAGACTGAGCTCCAAAGGGTGTGCGTCTGCCGTGGGCCCCTGCAATGCTTGCACGGACATGCAAGCACGCCCGCACACACGCGCACACACACGCACGCTCACACGCACGCACACACACACACGCATGCACACACACGCACGCTCACAAACACAAACACACACACAGGAATACGCAAACAATCACGTGTCACACACACATACATGTGCAAGCACCGCCGTGCCTGCCCCCCCTCCAAAGAGGGCCTCACCCTGCCTCAAGCCGGTCCAGCGACTCCAGGGGGCACTGCAGCGCGCGCGCATACACCGCCGCTGCCGCCGCGGGGCCGCCGCGGCCGCGCTCGAAGGCTATGTATGCGTCCCACAGCGGCGCGGCGCGGTAGTCGGTCGAGCAGTAAGCGACGCCGCGCTCGAACACGCTGCAGGGGGGGGGGAGGGCGTGGATGTGCATGGACGGCGGCCACTGCTCTAGCAGGCGCTCGTCCTGCTGCAAACAAGCATGGTCTTTCGCGCTTCTGGGCCACGCAGAGCGTGGATCTGAGCTGCGATGCACGCATGACCTGAGGAAAGTTGCCCTTGGCAGTGCCGCCGCGCTCGCACCTGCGCACGGCTTCCAGGTCGGCGCCCTTGGCCACCACGTGCGCGGCGTAGTGCTCCCAAAAGGGCACGCTGTAAGGCACGGCCGCCGCGCCGCGCTCGAGCGCCTGCGTGCGGGGTTTGACGCGGCGCACTGTGGAGATGAGCGGCCCCTGCATTCTCACGCTGCGCTGCTGCTGTGCTCTTGCCTCAGTCTGGTGCATGCGGCTGCCCATGCTGAAGATCGCAGCCGCAGCGAGCACACGCGTGCTGCACGCATGTGATGCTCGCCCCCGCCGCGAGCCGCTGGCCCCGAACGGCCAGGCGCATGGTGACATCGCTCGCTGCCGCAAGCCGCCGCCGCGGCCGGTTGCCAGCCTGGCGCACCTCAAGCGCGAGCGCGTCGCGGCCGTGGCGGGTGAGCGCGTCTGCGAGCTTCTTCCAATATGCATAGCACAGCGGCCACTCCGCCAGGAGGGCCTCGTATGCCGCCGACAGCTGCTCTGGGTCGTCCTGACACCATCAATGGCCGAGGGTGAGCGGGCGCGCGATATGGTCTCCGCATGCATTGGGGGCCGGGGCGGAAAGGCGGCGTGTGCAGCGTAAAGCAGGCGGTACACGTGGCTGCACAGCACGCGTCGGTTGGAGGCTGCCCGCAAGGTCAGCAGCGGCTGCCACGGTGCTATCATAGCGGCTCTGCCGCTACAAACGCGTGCGAGCCCGCGGCGACGTGCGTGGCGCGGCCGGCCGCGGCGGGCGGCTCGCGCTGCAGCGAGCGCACCAGCTTCTCGGCTGCCGAGGCGAGCGCTGTCCACCCCGCAAAATCCTCTGGCTTGTCCCGCACCACGTTCCAGCACTCTGCCAGCTTCGCTGCTAAAGGGTCCAGCGGCAGATCTGCAGTGGATCGAAAGGGCGATGAAGCATGCAGCAGCGGGAGCCCATTGGGGTCTGCGGCGGCAGCACCGGGAGCGACGGCGCTTTATGGCAGGTGCGCGCACTTGCGATCACACAGCCGCGGCCGCTCACCTGGGGCCACGGTTTGCTCAACGGAACCGTTGGCTAAAGCCATATCCTGTGCCTCTACTGCCTCCGTCATGGCTGCTCTACACGCCCCACGGGCAGTCCAAACCTGGGCGTCACGAGGAAACACCTACAGGGATCATAATGGCTGTTGAATTCTATCGCTAACGATTGCTTTGCTCAGCAAATGGGAGCTTGAAAAAACACCGGGGATGATCTCGGTGCGACGACGACGAAAGCCTCGGAAGCGTAGCGCGCCGCAGTCTATGATGCGATACATTGTGTGATAATTACGTGCACGAAGCATATGTAATGCATATCCTCTCCTCGTTTTTATCAGAATGCTTGCCGCTCGATCTGATGTACACAGCACCATCCTCGGGCCAATCGCGCCGAGACAAAATACATACGTTTTAGAGCGTCCTCTGCGCCGTTGGCAGCGATCGGCAGTGCCGATACGCCTGGCGCCGCGCTCCATCACCGCTGCGCGTGCTGCCAAGCGGCCTGGGGGGGGCGGCGGCAACGGGGGCAAGAGCGATGACGTGATCGACAGCATCCTCAAATTTGCTGACAAGTATGCTGGCATGGGACTACCCCCACCCAAGGGCCGAGCAGGTCCGACGTGCGGGCGCACAGGGCGCGATGAGCAAGTGGTCGGGGCCCCAACAACAGGAACGCCCGCATGGATGTACGCAAAGACGGCTGATGAAACCGCGCTATGCACATTCACACCCCCACCCGCAGCGGTGCGACGGCCAGGCGGCGCCGCCGCCGCGTACCAGGTCCCCTTCACAGCGAACCATGCGTTGCTGCTGTCCCTCGCCGCCGCGTGGGCCGCGACCGCCCTGCTCGGCCTGCTGCCGCCCGCGTCGCTCGCCCTGGACCGCGCGCGGCCTTGGACGGTGCTGTCCGACGCGTGGCTCAGCCCCGGGGTCGACCTCCTGGCGCGGAACCTGTTTTTTGGGTACGTCTTCGGACGCGTGGTGGACAACGTGGAGGGTGGCCAGGGGCTGTGGCTGTCATACGTCCTTTCGGCGGCAGGTTGGTTTGGCGCGGTTGATTCTGAACTCGACCTCAGACGATGGTGTGGATGGGGCGGCTGCTGTGCCACCGCCTGCCTGGCAGTTCCTGCTCCTGCAGCGTGCTCACTGCTTAGCTCTGCCTGTATTTCCTGGGGTTGTCAATGACGCGTTGACCATCAGTTGCGCTTGGCCACCTGATGCAATTTCAGAACCAACTTCCATCACCATCCCTTTGCTGACCCGACGCCCTACCCCACCCAACCCCGCCCCGCGCCGCCTCGGCACCCTTGCAGGCGGCGCCGCCGCCGCTTTCCTGCTTTTGCCGCGCCGCGCCCCCATTGCGGGCTCCGCCATGAACGGGGCCCTCTTCGGCCTCTTTGGCATGGCCACCCTCTTCAACGCCGCGAAGTCGTGGCACTGGCACCGCTGGTTCGAGCTCGTCGCGCTGCTGCCGTTCGTCGCGCTGCAGCTGACGTCGTCGCAGGCGGGGCTCGCGCAGTGGTGCGTGCTGCGCGGCGTGCGGCTCGGCGGCTGGGTGCCGCTGATCGGGGGCCTGGCGGGAGCGGCGGTCTCGGCGGGGATCTTGGCGCTTGGGCGGGTCGTGGCGGCCGGCATTCAGCAGCAGCAGGCCGCCGCGGCCGCGGCCCAGCAGCAGCAGGCGGGAGCCGAGGGGTCGGGGGCGCCGCAGCAGCAGGAGCCGCTGACCGCGTTGCTGAGCAGGGCAGCTGCGCTGGTGCTCAAGCGGCTCGTGTGACTCTACAAGGTTCTTCCTATTGTTGTCTGGATTTTGAGATGTCGTGTGTTGTTAGCGAGCGATGAGGGAACCTTGGGGATTGTTTCCTGGCTATCCAGGCCGACACGTCATGGGTGCCGCTGTCACATAGTGGGGTGGCGTGTGGTGTGTGTATGTTGCTAACTCGCTTGTTGAGATGTCTTGTCCAAAGCGTAATCACTTTATTCTTTATTATGATCATCACTTTGTTTGCTCCATACCTCTGCTTTCGTAAGCAGCACACATCGGTCTAAACCCAAGTGGTTGACACAGGCCGGCCATGGTCCTGCAAGGCAGGAAATTGCACCATTGTAACACATCATATAGGCTGCTTGCACAAGCTGCCAAGGACTCCTTGGCAGCTTCGTTCGGAAGGAAGCAAACGGGTTTGGGTTGATGGGCGGGTGAACCATCCGAGTCTGAACAACCCTTTCTAGCTGCCTCGAAGCAGGTGAAGAGTGATTACTACAAAAGGCTCTACACCTGGAGCCTTCATTTGTGGCATTGACTGTCAAGATCATGATAGTAGAGGGTGAGCAGTCAGGGACATGCGTGGGGTGAAGCAAGCTAGGGCTGGGGTGACGGCATCTGGCTGGCCCGCAGGGGCAAGACAAGCCTGCCGGCAGATCGGGTTTGTGAAGCGTTGTGGTTGTCAGCTGTGGGGCTTCAGAGACGGCACCAGCCTCCAAGGGTTTAGTGGGGACATTGGCTGGTCACACCAGTTTATGCAGCCCAACATCTTGATCGGCAGGCTGCTGTGTCAGCAGTGGACGCAGGGACGGAGGGAGCGCAGAGTTTGTCTGCTGCCGTGCAGCAATCGGGCAAGGCAACCCTTTGTCTGCTGCTGCGGGGTCATGCGATGCGAAGAGTTACCCATCGGCCGCATCTGTAGCCCATCTTGTGAAACAGCCACAAGCCGGCATGCAAAGGCATCTCATCATACGGTACTGTCGGTTGCCAATGACCAGCACCAACCGCAAGCGCAGGGCCTCTGTGAAGATGTGCCGTGCGACATGGCATGGTGCCCTCCAAATTTTTGAGGTTTGCTGCAGAATTACATCTGTGAGGGAACCTGCACACGATCCAGGCCAGCCCCGGCCAAGATCATCTGGCACACCACAGATCACAGCAAACAGCGGCTTTCCCCGCCGCCAGGCATGGTCGCATATTACGGTATCGCCAAGAGAACGATCGCAATCCTTGGCGTTTTATATCTTTACCAGTACCGTCAATATGACGAGGCCAGGCTACATACCCCTTTCCGACGGGAGCCGTGCCCACGGCTCCACCTCGCGGGCGCGCATCGCTGCGATCGCTTCTATAGCAACCCTTGCACTTCTAGTCGCCTGTTGGCCCGGGAACCTCTCATCAATATGGCAGCACCGGCAAGCGGCCATGATGACGCCGCAGCGTGGTCGCGCCGCACATGTGCCTGCGCACACGCAGCAAACGCAGCAGCAACCTCAGCAGTGGCAGCCATCAATGGCCGCCCTAACCGGGCTAGCCGTCGACCAGCCTAAGCGCGACGCAGTCGCTGCAAGTGCCGGCATGGTGGCGCTGCCCAAGGAAAAGGTGCTGCTTGAATTGTTTGTGATGAGCAAGTGCCCGGACGCCAGCTACTGCGAGCACTACCTGCAGGAAACCGTTGAGAAGCTGAGCGACATCGTGCACGTACGCACAGAGTGGGTGGCGGTGCGAGCGGAGGTGGTGAGCGGAGAGAGCAGTGGGCAGCTGGATCGTGCTGGGGCCTACTCGTCAGATGGGACACGCATATACACACACGCACGTGCACACACACACACACACACACACACGCACGCACGCACGCGTGCACACTCTCACACGCACACGTGCACACACACACACACACACACAAACACACACACACACACACACACACACACACACACACAACAGGTACATCATGCAGGTCGACAACAAGGGCGGCATCACCTGCAAGCACGGCGACGAGGAGTGCGCCGGCAACCTCGTGCAGCTGTGCGTCGGCCGCCACACACCCCCAGATCACAATTTCGACTGGTTTTACAGGTTCCTGACCTGCTCCTGGGACAGCGGGCTGCCGGTATCCAGTCCTGAGCTGGTCACTACCTGCCTTGATAAGGTGGGTGCGAACCCTTTGATAAGACAGCAAGTCGCCAGGCGAGCAGGCGCCCTGGGGGCTACAAACGCGCAGGTTCATGCAGCGTAGCCGACGCCAATCAGCTGCACCTGAGGCCCGATTGATCATCAGAAGCGGTGCGGCCGTGGCGCTGGATGCAGCCTTGACGCCTATGCCGCGTGGCCACACCGGCTTGCGTGTGCAGCGCAACTCACGCAGCCGCCCACGACGCCCGTGACCGCCACCCGCACAGGTCGGGGCGTCGGACGCTGCACGCACCGCAGTCCAGCGCTGCATCGCCGGCCCCCAGGGCCGCGGGCTCCTGTACGCGAGCGCGGCGGTGGTGGCCAGGCGGGGCGTGGTGCACAGCTGCACCGTCGCGGTCGACAAGCGGCAGCGCTGCGTGCGCGATGGCGGCGAGTGGTGCGCGGGGGCTGGGAGTGGCGCGGCCGGCGCGTGCACGGGCTTGGGGGTCTGTGCGCCGCGACGGAGCGCGTGCATGTGTGCTGTCAACAGACCCGCAGCTCACTGCATGACATGCGCATCTGCATCGCTGCTTGCCCATGCCCGCACGTCTGCCTTCAGCCGCAAACGGCCCTGCTCGTTCCCAAAGCGCATGTGCACGCGCGGCCCTCCTGCTCCTGCCTTGTAGGTATGACTGCCCAGGCGGAAGCGATGTGGCTGATTTTGAGCGCTCCATCTGTGACGCCTACAAGAAGAGGACCGGCAAGGACGCGGACGCGTGCGGGGAGCAGCGGCGCGAGGGCGAGGAGAAGCAGCCACGCACAGCCTGAGGGGCCGCAGGCACGTGCGCCGCGCCCGTCAAGGTGTCGCCTGTGGCTGCCGGTGTGTGAGCGGCAGTGGAAGGGCTTGGCGCACCGCCAGTTCGCTGGCGCCGCCATCAGGTCGCGACTTTGTTGTGTCTTGGACGTGAGGCAATCCTCCCGTTTCTGGGTGCCCCTCTCACACCCTGAGCCTCAGCGGGGAAGCGGGCCCCCTTGCCCTGACCCCCGCTGAGCTGGGGCTCTGCACCGCAGCCACCAAGCGCAGCCGAAAAAATGCCCAGTCACACTTGGGGGACTAGGCGACAGTGCCATCCAGTCAATGGTATTGCCTTGGTTACAAAATGGTGTTATCACAGTTCAAAAAAGACTCCCCCTTCAGCAGCTCGCCCCGTTTCAACGCGTTCATTGCCACTGTCGGGGGCGCCGACGCAGCTGCCACCCTTAGACCCTGGCAGTGGGAAGCACGTTGCCCAAGACCAAGGGGTGTGCAATCCTGCAAGCCTCAAGCACGCAGTGCGTACAGGTAATGGGACCCATGCAAACACAGCGGTTATACACCACCATGTTTCATGTCGCATGCCCACACCGGCATCAAAATTGAGCAGGGGAGGCAGTGGCTTTGCGGCCTGAGAAGGTAAGCGCAATTTGCCAGAGGGGCAGTAGATGTGTAAGAAGCCCTTTGATCAAAAGGGCATCGCTGGTCCGGATCGGGCAACGCACTTGCCTGTGCAATGCAAAATAGGGAGACCCTGAGCTGCCCAGCTGTATATGGCACACGTGCCGGCTGTCGCGGCGGCAGCCGGCGAGAGGCTCGGATGCCGCGTGGTACGCGCGGAGCCGGAAAGCGCAGCAGCGCCAAATGGTGGTGCTAATGTGTGTGGAGTTGCTGTGGCCGCGCACACGCGCGTGCCACCAGTGTGGCCGCGCGCACGCGCGTGCCACCAGCCTGCTTGCATTGATGAAGGAGCGTCGCACGGGCGGCATGGCGGCTGCGGTGTGCGGGGCTCGGTCGTTATTCAATGATTCACTGAATGAAGCTCTGAGCTGCGGCGGTGCACAAGGTGCACCGCCGCCGCAGAGCAAGCACCGGCTGCAGCTGTGCAAACGTAGGAGTTGCTTCCTGCAGCTGTGCAAATGTAGATGAGGCGAGGCGATGCAGGGCTGCCAGGTGAACAACTACAGGGGCCGAGCTTCAGGGGCAGTCGCCACCATGCCCACGCCTCCCAACCCCTCCGCCTCGTCAGCGTCTGTCTGAGACACAGCCGCAGCCGCCCCCATGCGACGCACCGCCCGTCGCGCCCACGCGCCTCAGCGGCTCGAGACCTTTGGGTCGCCCCAGGGCAGCGGCGGGCG